TCCGTAAAGTGAGGGGCAAATGACTCCCTGATTCTAAATTAGGGAGGAAAATAAGTGAGTGGAGTGGAGGTCAGGGGGCCACAATGGTTGCTCCATGGAGCCACCACTGTATGCAGTCAGCCCACACTTGGTCGGAACATCTTCACAAACCTCGCAGGCAGCATTGCTAATAAATTTTAGCCTGGAAGCAAAGTCTACAGGCATGATTTTGCCCGTCAGGCTGGAAAGGTTAAAGTGGGACCGAGACTGGAGAAAAAGAACGCAGAAGAGATCAATTTCCATAGGCTGCAGACAGCGCAGAAACGAAGGGGAGGAGTCCAAGCTCCTGCTCCAAACAGGCACTTAGGTCTGTTACCAGCTCTCTTGCCGCCCCAGCCGTACAGCAGTGGGCTTCCTCAGCTACCCTGCGGTGCCTGGGGGAGAGCCTCAAGCTTCCAGCTTCCCTGGCCGTGGGAGGTTCAGATACCAGTGCCATATATCCCAGAACACATTTCACGTTTAATCCAAGAAAGTCACACGAATGGCTATGTTCATAATCACATTTATCTAGTGTTTTTTGATTTATAAGCATTTTAGTCTCATTTTGATCCTTAAGGACGTGAGACCACAGCTAAAGCCATTCATCTGAAGAGACATCTGAAATAAGACTAAACATATCACGCTGTTAAACAGATTTCCACCAGCCATTGGTTTCCTCTCAGTTTGGGCGTGTTTTTTTCTTTTGTCATGCTTTGAAATCTTTCTTCAGTTTCATTTTCAGGATATCACCTTATCTGCTTACCTCTCAGGTTAAAACGCAAACCAACCAAAAATTTCACATCCACTCTGCTTTCATTATTACAAGGCTTATTCATTCCCTACTTCCTTCTGCTTCCTCTCACTCAATAAATACACACACTGATGCTCTGACTCTGATGTCCTTCAGTGGCTGGCTTCACCCATTCATTCAACAAATATTTAAAGCGGTTCTTCAAGGTATCAGGCACTACTGTAAGCACTAAGGTTACATCAACGAACAAAAAAGTTCTAGTAGAACTTACATGCTAGAGTAGAAATATTATTACAATACATACATATGTGTATACAATGTACTACAGGTGACATGCAATTAAGAAATCATAGGGGCTTCCCTGGTGGCGCAGTGGTTGAGAGTCCGCCTGCCAATGCAGGGGACACGGGTTCGTGCCCCGGTCCGGGAAGATCCCACATGCCGCGGAGCGGCTGGGCCCGTGAGCCATGGTGCTGAGCCTGTGCGTCCGGAGCCTGTGCTCCCCAACGGGAGAGGCCACAACAGTGAGAGGCCTGCGTACTGCAAAAAAAAAAAAAAAAAAAAAAAAAAAGAAATCATAGTGCACAAAATGTATATTAGGATTGCTGATGGGGTGACCAGAGGAATGTTAAAGTGGGGTGATTGGGAAGGCCTCACTGAAAAAGTGAGGCTTGAACTAAGACTGAAGGTGAGGGAGGGCTGGCCAAGAGAACACATGGAGAACAGCATTCCGGGCAGAGGGACAGAGCAGAGGTCCTGGAGTGACAGCATGGCTGGTGTGTTCAGGGTACAGCACTGGAGGAGGCCAGTGTGGCTAGAAAGAGCTAGTGATTGAGGAGGGCAGGCAGATCACAAAGGGCCTTGGAGTCCACTGGAAGGACTCCACTGTCAAGTTCACTGTAAGGCTTTTACTCCATGTGACATAAGGAGTCGCTGCAGTTTTTTGAGCAGAGGAGTGATGTGTTAAAGTTCTGAAAAGGATCTCAGCACAGCTGCAGTGTTGAGAACAGACTGTGGTGGGTACGGGGAGAAGCAGGGAGACCAGTCAGGCTGCTTAGATTACAACAGCAGGAGCAGTCAGATTCTGGATATATTTTGAAGATAGAGAGTCATGCCTTCCTAGCAGACTGGATATGAGATGAGGGAGCTACTGGATTGTCAAGGATGACAGCTGATCCCTGGATGAAGTGGCTCCCAATCATTTTGAGGTTTGAGTTTGACAACCCAAACTGACACTCTGGTACAGATGTTAACAATTATCCTGATTTATTTGGCCTCACGGAATTTTAAATTCTCTTTAGTCCATTCCTCCTCTTCTCCTCCCACAAAAATAATCTAATCTGGTAAGTCCAGCATGTTACAGACGGAGGAAGTCCTTCCCAGAGGAACCACGGATACGACGCAGTGACACAGATCCTACCCCAGAAGGCAACCCCACACTAGTTAATATTTAGTTAATATTTGATGGCTAGTCAAGCAACAATGGAAAGTTTCCACTAGTCATTTACTGGCTCCATAACTCTGGGCAAGTCATTTCTCCTCTCTGCCTCATTTCTTGGTCTTAAACTAAGGATAATATTACCCCCAGGGTTATTGTGACGACTGAACGAATGAGCTGATGTCGAGCATTAAAGCAGCATCCATCACAGAGTAAGCAATATGTAAGGGTTGTACTTATTACCATCACTGTTGCTAAGTGTTTTTGTTTTTTCTCAATCTCACAGTAATTTTACCAGGAGTAATACCTGGGTAACTGATGAGTCTAATATAAATTTCTAAAACAGGAATAACCTAACACTAAGGTACACTAAATACAAAGGCAGGCAAGTTGCCTGTGGGCGTCATGGAAGCCTAACACAGTTACTGAAATTCTACAAACATTACCTGCTGTGTTTGGGCAGGGAAAACATGAACCTCATATCTTTGTGCTCTAAAGAAACTAACCTAACCCAGCTCCGTGAACTTCTCTGAACCTTCCAAGACTAGCTGTCTGGAAGATCTTTCAGGGTATAAGAAATATGGTAATTAGGCACTTCAGCTTTTGTTACCTACTAAAATCAAGAACTCCTGAGATGCTGTTTTTACGTGTTTACTAATCACCTAACAATCAGAAGTTAAAATACAGATATATATGTACATCTATACACTACAACTTAAGCAAATCTATTCTCTTCTCCCAGCCTCGGACAGAATGAATTTCCACGGAAAATGCCCCTGAACAACAGTGACACTTCCAAGGCTCACCCAGCCAGCGATTTTCAACCCGGCTGCATCTTAGAATCACCTGGAGCGCTTTACACATACTAATGCCAAAGCCCAGTCCTAGATTTCTGCTCTAATTGAAACTGTTGAGAATGGCCGAATAGGTAAATACTACAAGTATTATTGACTGAATGTGGCAGACAGAGAGAACATTGTTTAAATAGTGAATTAGTATTTCTGGGTTTAAACTAGCCTCATACCAACTGGGTTCTGGGGTGAGAAGCCACTACAGCCCAGATTAGAAATCCTCTTAACCTGCTCTACAGTCTCTCAAACCACCCCAAACCTCCAAAACAAGAGCTGCTGCTCTTCCAAATGTTTTCTCAAAAGCGAATGATGACCAAAACTTAGATTTCTTCCAAATGAAAGAACACAACACTACTCTATTTTTTTCTGGCAAAATCCTTCTAAGCCTTACTGCCGAATAGCTGATTACAATTACTTTTATTTTCCTGTTTCCTTACTATAGGCAATAATAATGTGCAGCCTGGGTCTAAGAAATGAGAGTCTTCCTTTTGTTTGTATTATGTTAATCCATTATTTAAAACACAATGCCTCTACCTGATATTAGGGCACAACATAAGGAAGAAATTATCTTCAATGTTCCAACATTATATAGGACTAAGTGATGATTTCCTACAACAAAATCATTCATTCATTCCTTTAAAACACAATATTTAGTGTTTATTACATGCTGGCCACTTCTTTCAGGTTCTTGTGATCATAGGAATGATCACGACAGACCGACCTTAATATCCTGCTAGATGCTTTTAAATGCATAAATTTAAAAATAAAGTACGGCTACAGTTCAAAGGCAACTATAGAGTAGGTCAACATAATGGAAGTCTAAAATAACACCACTAGAAATGTCATACTGAACCCTAATTTACTAAGTGCCTACTATAAACCATTGTTTTAGTCTCTTTTACATATGGTACTCATTTAATAAAGTTGTTGTCCTAAAAAGAAGAATTTACTATTTAGAAGAAATTAAATGAGGCCAAACAATGAGAAAATTCCTCCCTTTGGTAGAGTTTAAATTTGGCTTTGCACACTAGATGGAATGCGCCATCCTAAAAGCGACAAGAATAAATTACGATAGACTTGTGCCAATTCATTCACACAAGAAATTTTTTCAGATTAGTTCAACCACATCAACTGTGAAAAGATTCAATGGTTAAAAAAAAAGTCAAGTTGTCATAAAAATATATTTCCAATTTCAAATTTTTAAGGTGAAAACTTATAAACTGTATGATGCATAAACTACCCATCTGTAGATATTAAACCACGTAGCTTATTGATAAGATGGTACTAATAAAGGTACTGTAAGACCAATAAAATAAACCACCATTACTAGGCGCAGCGATCAGTCCTTTAACTTCCTTTACAAACACTAATCTAAACCAAAAGTCATTCAAATCAATCAGAAATTCACGGGACTGTAATTCAGCCCCAAGCAAAAACGAGGGGACTTATTCCAAAGCTCTCTGCAAATCACTGTGATAATACTGTAAAGAAAAAATTTTAAAGACTTCAGGTGAAGCTATCTGACTGCAATCTCTCAAACCACCCCTCCCCCCCAAAAAAAGCTTTTTGCTGGTGGTGTTTTGGGGAGGTTAGTTTTTTATGGAAATGGGCTGAAGGCCAGCAAGTGCGGTCAACTGGCGAGTTTCCGGGCAGCTAACCCAGGCACCCAGTCCTCGGCCTGCCCAGGGTCCCCATACCCTTCGCCTTTCGAAGGATAGACGGCCTCACCCTTCTGCGCGCAACTAGACGGGGGGCTCCGCCGGACAGACGGCCAGAGCCCGGCCGGGACCCCGCCCAGGCCCGCTCTCGGGGGCGAAGACCCTGGCCCGCTAGCGGGGAAGGGCCGAGAGCAACGGCCGCCGGGCGGGATACGGGGCGCGCGCTCAGGCGGCGCGGGGCGTCAGAGGGATCGGAGGGACCCCCGCCCGCCCGCCCGCCTCACCGTCGATGTTCTCCCGGTCGCTGATGTGCTGCAGGTTGCAGCCCGTGTCCTCGCGGCTCAGGTCGGCGTCGGGCCGGCAGGACTCCAGCCGCGAGTGAGCATTCC